CAAAAACAAAAGTGTTGCGTTTATAATTTTGTTCAGTGTAATTAGAATAATACATATTTATCTGACTGATTATAAATGGTTACATTTGAATGTATTCTGACTTACTGTGAGATTATTGACTCAAGTAGATTATGTTAAATCCATAACACCACAAATCTAAACTCAGGTTAGTAACGGACTAAAATGATGTTTTAAAGTTCCGACTAACACATTGGCATTAGTCATGTATACTTAGATTGTAGAGGCTAATAATATGCTTTCCATTTAGAGCAACAGTGTGTCGTTTACCAACCTAAATTCGGGTCAGCCTCAACCTCTGATTATTGTATTATTATTCTAACTAAGTGTATACGTGAGAAATCACGGCATGATTATATAAAGTTACTTAGAGAAAGTTCAGTTGGTCAACTTGGTTCTATGGTAATATTGGTTCTAAATAATATGTTCTAGAATGAGCAAAGTATGTACAGGCCTTCTAGAACATTAGTCAGTCGCCTCTGTCTAATGACCAAGACTGACGAGAGTGTGAGTATGAGATCTGTGTTCCCGGCTGGCACGAGACTCAAAGTGTTATAAGAATAAGAGTAATAAGATTCAATATGATTTAAGAGTTAGATAATCAGGTGTCTAGATAAATTATCCTATGAATGATCAATAATAAATGGCATTCTAACCTAAATTTGAGGTCATAATAAAATGGAGTCAATTGAAACCCTCTATGGTACAGAGTTGCCATATGGCAACAATTAATTTCTACTTATTTCCTTGTTATTCTGAAAATAAATAAATAAATATAATATATTGCAATATGGTAAATAAAATGGCCTGCCTTAAGGTAGTCAATGATGTGCTGTTTTTAAGTAAAATGATATTTGAATGTTCCTCCAAAACATTTTTCCCACTGTCACCCTCACATGGAGGGCACCTGTTGAAGTGCTCCAGAAATTGCTCTGCTAACCTCATTTCTGAACATCTCTTCTCAAGAGGTTTTTTTTTTTTTTGCGTAATCTTTGGTTAGTACATTATATATTTTTATTCACAAATCAACATTTCAATCAAAATTGAGAAAATTTCAATGTTGCCATATGGCAACGCTGTACCACAGTGGAATTGAAGTAATGTATTTCCCCACTGGGATGTTTTAGAGATAGTAGCATCAATAATATGATTGCAGTTATTTATTTATTTGAAGTGTTTATTGTAGTATAGTTGTATTTATGTATGAATAAGAAAATTATTTATTCTTTTCAGAAAATGAATACAGCAATATTTCACGGAAAGGGCAATAGGACGAGTGCAGAGTTGGCTCTTCCATGTGATGACAATGAGGATGAGTAGGCTTTCAGTGACTGTAACGATGAGTGTGTGTGTGCATGTGTATATGTGTCTGTATGTGTGTATGGCAGATTTTGATGGAAAATAGAAATAGAAAAAGTAGAAAAACTACTTTTTTTGGCCATTTTCCATTGTGGTACACTGTTGCCATATGGCAACGTTTTCCTAAATACAATTCAAAAATCTGTTTTGATTGTATAATTGAAGCTATTTCATGTCATAAAAAATATTCCATGGTTAGAACATAATGCATACCATAGAGGGTTAAGTCAGGTCAAGTCACCATTATTAATATATATAGTGCTTTTTACAATACAGATTGTGTCAAAGCAGCTTTACAGTTTTAAACAGGAAATTACTTTGCACACCAAAAAGACCGAATACACAGGAAACTTTTAGCCACCATTGGATACCTTCATCTTAAAAGTCTGTTGAGATAGTATTTTCAAGTGAAACGAGTAGAGGCTTAGACATGGAAACCGCATTCCTTGCATCACATCTTAACAAGGTTTACAATGTCTGCTTTTTAATCTCTAAAAAGTTGACCCTGTTCCATTGTAAGTTCCTCGCCATAAACTTGATTTTTTTTTGTGTTAAGAAAACAAGGGACTTCTCAGTTATTTTTGTAATCAACCTTATACCACAAATGCTGTCAAATAAGCATAAATTGTTTTGAACCCAAAATATTCCTTTAACAAAACAAGAATACTCACCATAGACAGAAACACTAAATGTTTTTGATGACAACTTATCTCCACTTATCTGTAATTCATAGAGTCCAGCATGTTGAGTTGTGATGTTTGTGATGGTCAGAGATGCAGTCTGTTTGTCCAGCTTCAGTCTGTCTCTGAATCTCCCATCAGGACCATCGAATGTTGAGAAGATTTGGTCCTCTCTACTGATTTCAGCTATGAGAGAGTCTTCAGATCCAAATTTCCACAGTACGTCATCGTCTTCATGTATTTCAGAAACATCAGAGTTTAGAGTAACATAATCTCCCTCCATCACTGACACTGACTCACCAAACACACCTGGAGAACAAACTGGAACAGATTTCACACTTTTGTTGGTTTACAAAGCCTGACGTCAGTTCTTGTTTCTAAATGTGAACTGAGGAATGTCTCAAACGGCAACAGAAAAACAAAAGGAAACGCATTGACAACAGATTAAAGATTGTTGTGTAAACTAATAATTCAGTCTTTAAGGTGTTATCTGCCTGTAACTTCACATTTATTTTGCAGCCGAGTGAAATGAGTGAAAGTAATTCTGGATATTTCCAGAAGTTTCACTTTAAATCAGGATCACTGAGAGGCAGACCTGAATCTAGAGTAGGCCTCACAATATTATCTGTTTTATTTGATTAATCTAGGTAGAAAAGTCAAATGCAAATCCTCTAACTATCAGGTTTATTACCCTGAAACTGAAAGAAATTAAATTGCTTTTGTAACTTACCAATCAGACGCCACCAGTACAAGCAGAGCAAAACAAGCATGTGAAACATTTTCCTCAGTAGTCTAAATGTAATGGTAAATAAACTTATGGATTTTAAAATAATTTTATAATCATTCAATTGATGTGAGTTGCAAAACAAAATTAAAAACTGTGTATCATCTCACATTGTTAGTCTTACTGCTGTGTGTGACACGAGCAGATCATCATCTGAGTCAAACTGAAACCTGCTGTGGTCTGATTTCTACAGAAACGTGATTTGATCTCTCTGTGGACACAGTTTTATAGCTGAGAATGGCCATTTGTTTCATGTTTGTGTTTAGTTTGAAGGTGAAGGGCTTCTTCCTGTCATTCTGTTATGAACCACAGAGTCCTTCCTGTCTAGATAAAACTGCTTTACAAATAAATTACTTAATCAATCCATCAAAACTGATGTATGAAACACAGTTGAAGATGATTCACAGGTCGGAGGTGTTTTATACTTCTATAACTGTGTTATACTTTTAACTGGGTCAGATCTGTTTTGTGGTCTGCACCATGACCACACCTGAACATCTGATGCATAAAGCACACAAAACGGAAAACACTTCAGGAGTTTCACAGTCGTCATCCGATTTGTTGAATTTTACAGGATTTAGACGAAACCAGCAGTTCAATTCCAGGCTGCAGCAATGTCACATTGTGCAGAGGACTCATCTGGTTCCTGTGGTCTTGTCCCGGTGGTCGTCTGAGACAAGGTCTTTAAGAAAGCCGTCATGTTTACAACTGTGAAAATGAGCACTTATCAAGATCAACTAAACACTGGATTATCAAATGTATGTTAAGTTCATGGTATAGACTCTATAGTTTCAGTAAACTTGCACACCATCTTGAGCTGTGCACTAGGACATGTGCATTGGCTAATCTAGCCTAAAAAATAAGCTCTTTTATGCTATTTGAGCATGAGGAACAGCATTTATGAGACAGTTGTTGTCGGATTTCATTGGTGATTTCAAATATGAAATGTAATCACTTGGTGAACAGTTTTGGAGAATCTGATGATTCCTCATTCAAAGAGATAGGAGCTGCACTTGCATGCCCAAGAGAACTTCGCCAAGTGAAATGGCTGCCAAGTGAAATTACTTGTTTTAAAGGAACTTTGGTTTAGTTCTCATCCAATAGTGTCTGTGCAATCAAGTCAATAATATTGCCAACTAACACACAATTATTAAGTGTCCCCAACTAAGCAAGGCAGGATGGATCCGTGCTTCCGTGTTTTTTTTTACACCAAATTCTGACCATACCATCTGAATGTCATAACAGAAATCAAGACTAACTTTTCCAGTCTTCTAATGTCCAATTTTGGTGAGCCTGTGCAAATTGTAGTAAATTGTAGTGGCAGTATGGTCGTCTTCTGCTGTAGCTCGTCTGCTTCAAGGTTAAACGTGTTGAACATTCATAGATACTTTTCTGCATACCTCAATTGTAACGAGTGGCTCTTTGATTAGATATTTGCTTTACAGAGCAGCAGAACAGGAGCACCTAATAAAGTGGCAGGTGAGTGTAGTAAGTGCAGTGTATAGTATGTCATTTGGGACACAACTCAGTCAGGTTTTGTTCAATCTGTTCTGCTTATTCTGTGGTTATTACAGCACTTTCTTTAGATGAATTAAATGCAATTGTATTTACATTTAATTGACTATATTTATTACCCCAGGGCTGTTGAGTTAGAGAAAAACCCTTATGAAGCCCTAACTGGAAATGTTTAACAACAGCGCCATCTGCTGTAGTGACTCCGCTGTGGAGTCCCATAATTCAGCGTGAAATAAGGTCCACTACCTTCCCGGATAAGCGCAGACGGACAAGTTCGACACATGCGCAGTTCTGTCTCAATAACATTCCCGGGAAACGCGGACGGCAGTATACTTTGGCCTTTACTATGATGGCGCGTTTCCAAAGTTATTAATATCGTAAATCTACTGTGTTTTACTACCTTGACATTAAATCACAGAAAACTGCAACGACGGCGACGATTTCCGCTTCCAAAGTCCAACTCCAACTCCATCAGCTGGTTACTTTCGGTTTTAACTGCAGGCAGTAAAGGCGTTGTTAGTGGTTTTTGAACAACTTCAGCTTTTATCACCACATAAATTGCATTATTATCTCAGAAGGACAGTGGTGAAAATGAATTATTTTTGGATGACAGTGCTTTTGCTCGTGACTGGTAAGATATAATTTATTTTCTGTTCATTCAGCTTGTCAGCGCTAATCACTTTACACTCGAAACAAGTAAGTTGTTGGACTGAAAATGTTGTTTTAATCACATTTTTTGTGACTTTTTACGACAAAACTAGGCAGTTGTAATTTATGCACCACTACCAGGATATGGTGATATCATATATATGATTTAGTAGCCTACTGTATGTGTAAATATTTGTTAGCATGATTTTAGTGTAGGCTAATAAAATAGCTTACTTTGTTTAAAGGGGTCATGAACTGAGAAATCATAATTCCCTTGATCTTTGTGCTATAAAACATCCTTTAAGTTTCAGAACTCAAAACTTTCTCGTTAGTCTAAAAACAGCTTATATTGAAGCCAATCTGCCAAAATGAGACGTTGTGGAATGTGCCACTTTATACTTTCGACCATGTCTAAAATGGGCCATACTATTGACATGAGTGACTCTGGTATGCATGCAAAACTTAAAAGAAAAACAAAAACAAGTTATTATGTGGCTAAATCACTCATACATCTCTTGACAGTTCAATAGTCACTATTCAGTTTTCATAAAATATTAGTTGTTTTCATGCCTATTGCAAGACATTGCACTATTGCATGCTTTTCATCTTCAGAAAGATCTTTCATCCTCCCCATATTGCATGAGAACTGTGACCTGCTTAATAATGTGGAACAACCTCTTTAAGTAGTTTTTTTTCTTCCATTTATCTAACGAATACCTGACAAAAGATGTAACAAACCTGTCTGAGACTAATACCTGTTATTTAAAAAGATATGATAAATAAACACTTAAAAAAAGTGAGACACATGTAGGTTTGTTTGATGAGTGAATGTGTACATAATCAGGCGTGTAACAATTCAGGCTTTTATTTTACATTAGATTATTCAATTTCTGTAGTATTTATTACTTGGACAATGATGTTCAATAGACCTATACCTGAAACTTAAAGCACTGTCAATTCCATCTTTGTTCTATTGTTTTGATTTTGTACTCCTTTTTGTATAGTTTGGTCTCACAATTGTTGTAATGTATTTTTCATTTCTTCTGCAGGTGCATCTGCTGTGAAGATAGATGGAGTATCAGTGTCAGTGATGGAGGGAGATTCAGTCACTCTATACACTGATGTTACAAAAACCCAGGTCAACAAAGTGAAATGGTATTATAATGGTGCTCGCATCGCTCAAATCACTGGAGATCCCAATAAAACCTGTACAGATGTTCAGTGTAATAAAGGTACTGAGAGATTCAGAGACAGACTGAAGCTGGATCATCAGACTGGATTTCTGACCATAATGAACATCACAAACACAGACTCTGGACTCTATAAACTGCAGATAATTATCACCAGCAGCAGCAGCAGTGACAAGATCTTCAATGTTACCATCCATGGTGAGTAATATATATGCTATATTACCTATATTGTCCTATGCATACTCATGGGCACACTCTAGACTTGGTTCTATCACTTGGCTTAGTTGTCAGGGACATTATCATTGAGGATTTTATAGTATCTGATCACAATCCAATCTTATGTACTGTTTCTCTTCCTTGCCAGCAAATTTTGCACATTTTAAATTTTGCTCGGCTAAAAGATGACTTCGTCCACTAACGCCTAGTACACATGTGGAGTTTAATGCGTCTTTTATGGAAACGTTGCAGTGTGTGAAAGTGGACCTCTTATCTCCGCATCTTAGTGTGGAGGAAGCTGTTAATATTTTTAATTTTGTATGTGCTGAAACATTAGACGGGGTTGCACCGTTGAGGCAGGTGTGTAGAAAACGCAAGTCTGCCCCATGGTACAATGACATATTACATCTCTGAGAAGACAGTGTAGAAGATGTGAACGCAAATGGAAGAAAGACAAGTTACAAATTTCCTATGAAATGTTGTGAGACTCCTTAGGCAGATTCCAATGGGCTGTGAAAATGGCCAGGTCTCTGTTATTGAGAATAATCGTCAAAATCCAAAAATACTTTTCTCAACAATTGATTCATTCTTGAATCCTAGATTGGAGGTGCCCGGAGATATGCCTATGGGTCTATGTGAAAGTCTTTTAGATTTTTTTGTTGGGCGTATATCAGACATCCGAAAGAATATACAACAGTGTCCACATATGCCTATGGATATACCTGTAACTCATGCTGTGTTGTCTGATTTTGAGCCCATTTCTTTATCCATGTTTTTAGACATTGTACTCAAGCTTAAGTCGACATTTTCTCCTCAAGATATTGTTCCAACAAAGCTACTAAAGCAAGTTATTGAGTTGATTGGTCCATTTGTATTATCAATAATTAATAAGAGTTTACTTTCTGGAATTGTTCCAACTTATTGTAAACATGCCATAGTGCAGCCTTTATTGAAGAAATCAAACCTGGATAAGAGTGTGATATGCAATTATAGACCAATTTCAAAGCTTCCTTTTTTAGCAAAGATTTAGGAGAAAACTGTTTTTAATCAACTTGAGTCATTCCTTACTGATAATGCTATCGGTGAACTCTTTCAGTTGGGATTTAAAAAACATCATAGTACAGAATCTGCATTATTGAGAGTTTTTAATTATATTTTTATGTCAACTAACTCTGGTGACGTGACTCTACTTTTGCTTTTAGATCTTACAGTGGCGTTTGATACAATCAACCATCAGATTTTGATCTCACGGTTAGAAACTTGCGTTGGTATTCGAGGTAATGCCTTAAATTGGATTAAGTCTTATTTTCAAGACAGAAGTTTCTCTGTTCAGATGGGTGAAGGTATGTCGACCTCAGCGCCTTTATCTTGTGGTATTCCACAAGGATCTATTCTAGCACCAGTCTTTTTTCACTTTATATGCTCCCGTTAGGTCAGATCTTGAGTAAATATGGTGTGTCATTTCACTGTTACGCAGACGACACCCAGTTGTATCTACCTCTGAAGCCAACTGCCTCTATCGCTGCGGGTTGGTGGAATGTCTTGGTGAGATTAAGGTGTGGATATCTGCTAATTTGCTATGTTTAAATTAATCAAAAACCGAATTGATTTTATTCGGCCCTTCTGAGTCTGTTGATACATCCAAAATTGAGTTGGGTGTACTATCCCCTTTTCGGACACATCAATTAAAAAACTTAGGTATAGTTTGTGATGATTTGTGATGATAGATTTGTTCATTTAACAAATAAATGAAGTTGTCAAAATTAGTTTTTTTCAATTGAGATTAATCTCTAAAATTAAGCCTTTTTTTTATCTCGGAAGGACCTGGAAAAGGTTATCCATGCTTTTATTTTCTCAAGAT